GTAATGTTTTTAAATATATCAATAATTGTTTTAAATACGGATTATAGTCTTCTACTGTTTTACAAAGTGATCTTTTTGCGATGACTTGCTATTAAAAACATTAGTAACACTTTACAATAAGGTTACAATAAGCATGATTTTACACAATGTTAGTTCACAGTCCATTAAAGTTACTGCATTAACTTAATGTAAACACATTTGACCTCATAAATATTTTTGTATATGTTGAGATTAACATGAACTAAAATTAATGCTGAGATTGTTCATTGTTAGTTCATATTAACTAGTTAACTAATGCTATCAAATGAATCCTTACTGTTAACATCAAACATTTTAATCTAAATTCCCAATATTAATTAATTTCAAAAAAGGAAACACAAACTCATACCAGGATTCCAGCTTTAATGTTATCAGTGCAAATTAATTTTCAATACAACGTGAATATGGGCAGATAATAATGAATATCAAAACACTACCAAAATACAGTACAACAAGGCTTGACGATGCATGCCAAAACACTTTTAATGCCAGTAGTTGTCAAGATACTGCAAATAAAAAAAATAATCATAGTGACATTAGCAATAAAATGGACAAGGCAATAAAAAATGACAAGGCAATAAAACAGATGCACATGTTATTAGCAATACACTCCTTTGTAGTGAATCAAATCTTCTGGATCATCACCTGGAATTTACCTAAGAACAAACAAGGTGCCGAGAAAGAGGGATAGAGGGAGACAAGTAAGAAACAATTAATTGGAGAGAACAGGATGAGATGGTTCCTGATGAGAACAGGAACTCTGGAAAAATTAACTTCAACTTCATTGCTGATCAGTTACAGATTGAGTAATATCATAAAAGAAAAAGTACAATAAATCTAGTAGTTATTTATTATATTTTTGCATATAATTTGTTTCTTACAGGCAGGCATGACTGACACTTCTGCCGTGACTATACTTCTCACACCAAGGTTTGAAAGTGCTCCTCGGACCAATCCACAGGTGAAGGCTAAAAACTGCAGACATAAATAAATGAGAATCAACAAACACAGAATATATACAGTACCGGTCAAAAGTTTTACTATTTTTAATGTTTTTGAAAAGTCTCTTATGCTCATCAACCCTGCATTTATTTTATTGTGAATTGTAATAATATTTCACAAAATTACAGTTTTTTCTGTATTTTCGATCAAAAGAGAATTAGATAGATAGATAGATAGATAGATAGATAGATAGATAGATAGATAGATAGATAGATAGATGAAATGTTAAAGATATTGATTCTGGAGTTTCATTTTAAAATATGTTGTTTATGTTCATACCTTCGGCGCATGTTCCAGATATTGTTTGCCAGCAGATAGTTGGGTCAGCAGACGGAACTTGTTATCTTGTAGCACATAAATACCCTACAAACAATTTCGTCAAGTTATTCAATAAAGACATTCACTAAGCTATATGAAATTGATAATATGATGTTTTTTTGTTATAAAAAAAACAAAAACAACAACAACAACAACAAAAAAGCAACAGCTGGACTGGACTTCCATGATATTGTACACACCTGGTGGTTTGTTCTCAGGTTGTCAATCTGCTTCTTAAAAACACTGGTCCAAAAATCTTTGCAGATGAACTTCATGACATCAAGCTCATCTTTGAAACGTGGAGTGTCTTTAGTAAACCTGCAAACAGAAATTATGGCTGTTGAGACACATCTTCTCAAGATTTTTTTCTACTACTAATTAAACTGTCTTTAAAACAACCAATTTACTTGTTCAGAGTTAAAGTCTAAATAACTGCACAACAACATCTGATTTTAGGATGTCATGAGATGATCTGATTGAATTATGAATAGGATATCAATATCTGTTATGATACCTCTCAATAAGTCCTTGTCCCACACGAAACCCCATGTTCTCAAGTTTAGAAACACACCGTCCATTCTCCTGTGCACAGAAGTACACTACATTAATTCAACATGCAAAATTGCCACAATAGTAGCTTTATTATTGTGCTTGGCTTACTCGGTTCTAATACTCTATTCTACGTTTCTGTGACAGTGTTTTCATGTATATCTCCAGCTCTTACCGATTCCCCCGTTTCTGCACTGTTGACATACTGAATAATTTCACTGTGCAGGAACTGAAAGAGAGCCTCGTCTGCCATCTCAAGCCAGTTCAGCCAAAGCCAGACCGAAACTGACAGGCGACAAACAACGGCCGTACGACACAAAATGACAAGAGGTATAAATCAGCTGCTACTTTAGTAAACAGGCGCCATTCATTGCAAAAATATCTGTGTGCGAATATATCAATTAAATTCAAATATTTCGCCAAAGTATTCGACTGCTTGTTATTAACAGGGTCCTTATTCACATCTGTTCCACTTCCTGTTTGCCTGAGAATGAGCTGCCTTTGTATTTGCCTGAATGTGAACATGCTTTTCTCGAGTCGTTTTATTTGGAAACCGATTTTTCTTTCGATTTAAGACTAGGGAACTAAGTATGGAAAAGTGAAGTAACGAACAACCGATTGAGCTTTACAATCAACACCTCGCTTGTTTTTACTCATAACTATCATAATCAATACTATTGCACAATTGAGTATTGAACACAATGTAATACCAGCGGTTTTCCTTTTGCAGTTCTAATAGTATACATTACAGCGTTATACGATTGTGTATTTTATAAAATAATGGTTCATTTATAACAAATAGACACGCTAGATGTATAAAACTGTAAATTAATTTATTTACAATCATTGTCATCTATTTATGTATTTATCTTTTATATATCAAGCCTTTAAAATGTTTATATAGCCTGTTGCAATGCTTGTAATCATGATATTAGTTTACATTTCAAATTAAAATTTCTTTTAAAAGCCACCTAAGTATAACTTAAATATAAATGTAATAAACACTGAAATTTCAGTGGGCTTGCTAAAAAAAATAGTAATAATAATGAATGAAACAACAGAAACTCAAGTTCTACAAGATGCTTTATTTTTTTTAAATTCATCCTTAACATTGTTTCTGTGTGCACCTTCATCTCTCACTCATTCACTTTTGCTTTCAGAATGTTTATGGAAACAAACAGTCCTTGAAACACAAAAATGCCAATACTTGAAATTTTTAAGGTGTAAAACAACTGTTTACTCCAACTAAACAGCTATGGAAACTTTACATTTCTCACTAAAGGTACAGTACAGCTGTGCACAGTGTGCATCTCACTGAGGTAGATCAGTCTGAGTCTAAATATCACAGTTGAGTAGAGGCCAATTCCATTTCAGTTCAGCCAAATAAGGAAATGCTATTGGCATGATTTGTATTGATTGTGGTGATGATTTACTAACAAAATGGGAGGAACAGAAGGATCTCATGAAATGAATTCACCCCTTCAAATGGCATAAACAAAATGGAGTTGACAACAACATATATCAACAGTTACCTTATAGGTCACTGGTGCATATAACACTGAGCCAGAAGAATAGACAGTGAAGCAATGCTAAAATGCCATTCAAAATTACATGAAAAACAAAACAATAAAAAATAATTTTCTCCTGACAGTGCTCCTGGTTTTGCATGGAGATACATGAAGTGCTTCAGCAATAACAGGGTTTGTGCTAAGCTTAGTTTGTCTAAAAATACAGAATCCAGGCAAAGCATTCGGGAAAACTTGGTAGTGTGAGAATCAGTTGTGTAATTACCAATTATTTGCCCAAGATACTTTTTACCGCGTTATGCAGGGAGTATATATGATCAATTCTTGTTTATTACTAAACAACAACAACAAAAAAGTTTAGTTCCCATATTGGGAATTTGTCAGGAAGGGCTAATTTTAAACAAATGTTCACTTATCATTATGATTTTCAATTCCAATAAACAATCCTTTTTTCTTTTTTTGCATTTCACTTACAAAATACTCTGGAATGAACAGAGAGAGATGGGGGATTACAGGAGACGAGTCTCCACACATAAGTGTGATTCCTTTCATAAGCATTAAGGATGTGAACACAATAGCACCTAAAAACTTTTATCTAAAGTCTAAAATCAACACAAGCTAATTCATTAAATGCTAATTAATCACCTGACTCTAAAGCTTTCATAACTAAAATCATTGAGCTTTCTAAAAAAACAAAAAAACAAACGAGATAATGTTATTCACGCCTTGTGGCGTGAGGATTTGCTTCATTTCTTGTCAAATGGTTGAATCCTTTTCATGACAAGAGTTCAGCTTAGAGAGGTAGGTTTTTTGTGTTGTGTGACCGTGAGGTGAGAGGTACATCTACGGCCACAGACTCTTATGGTGCGATCACATTAGTGAATTTTCGGCGAAATTTCACACGCAAAACAATTTTATTTGTCAATAGTGCAGATGTATGAAGCACCGCTTTCACAGAAGTCAGTGTCACACCAAGCAGCTTTCTGTTGGTCAATGCGGCAAATTTGCGTGACCAACTGAAATTTGCATGGAAAAATTGTTCGCCCCCCACATGGATTTCAATTTAAAGGGATACTCCACTTTTTTTGGGAAATAGGCTCATTTTACAACTCCCTCCGAGTTAAACAGTTGAGTTTTACCGTTTTCGAATCCATTCAGACGATTTTCTGATATTTAGAAGAATATCAGTAACCAGACAGCTTCTGGTCTCATTGACTTCCATAGTATTTATTTTTTTCCTACTATGGTAGTCAATGAGACCAGAAACTGGTTACAGATATTCTTCTAAATATCAAAAAAATCATCTGAATGGATTTGAAAATGGTAAAACTCAACTGTTTAACTCTGGGGGGGTTGTAAAATGAACCTATTTCCAAAAAAGTGGAGTATCTCTTTAAATGACAGTATTTTGTTGGGGGAAAAAATTCACAGAGCAACGCAAAATGTGACCGCACCTTCAGTCAGAAGTGCCGTTGATAAAAAAAAGTGCTTCATTTTACAACGGAGAACACTGTAATAGCATTATTTTCCTTTCGTGACTAAAATATTGAGGTATTTTTTGCTAACTTTTCAGTTTCATTAATTTGAGTTCATTTAACACTACAAAACAGTTACTCAGAAGACCCTCTGGGAAAAACCTCCAAGTTAAAACTATCCTAAAAGCAAAACTCCATCTATCCTAGTGATCATCTCATCTATTTCTACAGGATTCATTTGAAGACCTCGCACCCACTCAATGTATCCAGTTCATTACATTTAAGCTACTTGGCAATGACGCAACAGATTTGTTGCGTTTGACTGGCAGGTCATAGTGGACACAGGCAACATCATTGCTGGAAGGCCTGATGGAATCGAGGTAGAGTTGGTGAGAAACCAGAGAGCTGGTTTAAGTGCCCTGAAGCCTGAGGCTCATGCAGTGACTGTGGCTGAAATGAGGTAAGTGGCCCAGAGAACTGAGAGGTAGGGCTTTGGGACACGGCGCTGGTGGTGGTGGAGTATCCCAAAGGAGTGCTGTAGGGAGGCAGGCCGAACGGCAGGAAGCCCAGCAGGTGCGAAAGGTCCATGTTGGAGGAGGTGGTGGGCGGCTCGGCGGAGGTGAACGCCGAGTTTCTGAGGGTGAAATGGGCACTCTGAGCTCCCAGACCCTCGGGAAGGAGGTCGCCTGGCCGGGAAACAGCAGTTGCCACGGCGGCCTGCGGCGGCATAGGCCCGCACTGGAGTTCGGTCAAGAAGTTCTCCATCTCTGTTTTTAGATATGAGGTAGTGCAGCTCGGCTGATATCTGGGAGCCTGCTGGTACTGCTGCGGCGGAGGCTTGTTTGGCTCGAGGTAGCAGCCCACACCCATGGGGCTGGACAGGGGGCCAGACACCATCGTGTGATGATGATGATGATTGACCCCTGAGGTAGATGTGCTCGGAAAGCCTTGCGGGTTGAACATGGCCATGGAAAACGCTTCGGTGGCATCTTTCGGAGATCCGACAGAGCACATGGTGGGACTAGGCTCCTCCTTAATGGGCATCGGCGGCAGGGTCTCCAACTCTTGCGCGTGGCTTTTCTTCAGGTGTCGGGTGAGGTGGTCACGGCGGCCGAATCGCTGGGCGCAACGTGGGCACAGGAAGTCCCGCCGGCCGGTGTGCACGACCGCATGGCGTCTTACATCTTTGCGAGTGAAGAAGCGCCGGCCGCAACGCTCACATTGATGCTTCCTTTCCCGAACCACAGTCCCTGGGGGCGGCCGGCCAGTGTGTGTACTCAGGTGCTCGAGTAACGCCGGCATACTCTCGAACACCTGACGACAGACCTTACAGGTGAGGTCACCGCCGGCCGAGGTGGCATGTGTGGCCACGTGGCGTCTCAGACCCAGGCGAGTGTTGTAACACTTTCCACATTCCTCACACCGCAGTTCCTGCTTGTTGGGGTCGTGGTTCTGCAGGTGGCCGTTCAGCTGGTCTTTGCCATGGAACATTTTCTCATTTATACGTGTAGTTTTTAGGGCATATGTCACTCTGGGAAAAGCCAAAGATCAGTTACCACAATAATTGAAGGTTTAAGAGAGAATACAATCATAGTCAATCATACATTGTTTTAAAGACAAAAGCATTTCACAAGTACCTGAGAAGAAGCTCCAACAGGTGATTTTTCTTGGTGGTTTTTTTGCATGTTCAAAATTCTGCACACAAACACAAAGATGCTGCTGTTGAGGATTTTTTTTTTTTTTACCATGGGTCCTATAATGCATATGTGCATCTAAAAAAAATTAAGCCATAATGGATTTATGTGCTTCATAAAAGGGAGTTTGTAAAAAAAAAAAAAAAGAACAAAAAAAAAAGAAAAAAGAAAATTTGTTCATAATTTACTCACCGTTATGTCTTTCCAAAACTGTATGATTTTTTTCTGTGGAACAAAAAATAAGTCATTTTGAAAAAAAAAATTGTCCACAAAATGTAAGTTAATGGTAACTAAAAAGGTATGATTACCAACAAAAATAACTTTTATAAAATAACATTTTGTGTTCCACAGAAGAACGATGAGTAAATTATCGAATTTTAATTTTTGGGTAAACTAACAAAACAAAAACGATTATTTAAAAATATACATGTAATGTACAGCCATAATGTTCTTAGATTATACAAACAAAAAAATATTTTTAAAAAATTATGCAATATAATTGTAAAACATTTATACAGATACTTCTATACACAATTTGTTTTAAAACTCCTGGAGCACGTATGCATCAATTTCTATTGTCTCCTTTCAACAAATATTGTTTAGAGAACACAATTTTACTTCTGAGAAGTAAAAAGGTCCACTTGAAAATTTCTGATTTGGATTTTTTTCATTTGATAATTTTTTTTTTTTAATTATTCAACTCCTGAAGATAATTTGTTTCATTTAATAGTAATGTCATTCTATATAAATTAAACAAAAGCTTTAAGTGCTTGATGGCAATGCAGTGCAGACTTTGAACCAACCTGATTCTAAATGGTAGCAGATTTCAACACAAGAAACTTATAAACACCCTGAAGGGACTTGGCCAGTGACATTTATAAAGGGTTTGTTTACCTGTTTCAAGTCTCACAAAAGCACATTCATTATCTTGACAGAACTCCAGAAAATGTCCACTATACTCCCTCCCTTTTAGAGAATGGATGGACATCATTCAAGCAATCATTTCAAGTATTTTAATGCGCACATAAATCCACACTATTTTATTTCAATATTCAGATTTAGTTTTAATGTTATAAATGTAGGAGCTTGAAAGTTCAGTTGGGACAAAATGTGCTTCTTCTATGTATTAACTTTAAAACAAAACTGTTATTGTTGTAGATAAAAACGAAATAATATTAGCTTATTGTTAGATTTGAATACTTAAAATTACAGTAACACTTTAGAATAAGGTTGCATTTGTTTACCACATTAGTTAACATATTCTGAGAAGCATTTATTAATCTCGACATTTACATTTTTAAGATCAAAAGTTGTATCTGTAACATTAGATAATGCACTATAGACTAACAGGATTTTTTAAAATTAACTAACATAAACAAAGGTAAATAAATTATGTAAAAATATGTTGCTCATTGTTGATTCATATTAGGTAATGTATAACAAATGAGACCTTATTGTAGTGTTACCAAAATCATAAATGGCTTACAATCAAGTAGCTATGCTAATTACATAGTAACTGCATTTTTCCCCCATTTCATTTCATTTCATTTTCATGCAAATAGGCCTGACATATTTTCAAATGACATGTTTGTGGTAAATCTAATTAATTTAAAATAATATCAAACAAAATGTATTATAGTCATATATAAAGTTGTGTCTTGTTTTATAATAACTTTCTGGCTTAAAAAACCCTTTTGATTTCACTGGCATCTTTTTGTATATTTACTCCTGGCACGTTTCGGGGTCAGAAACCCGTGGCACGTTTCGGTCAGCAAACTCTCTCAAGAACCGCGGAACATTGTGATTAAATGGTCAAATCGAAATGATCCGTAATAAAAAAGACCAACACTAATCACAATATCCATTCACGTTTTCTTTATGTTAAACATTTAAAAAAAAAAAATAATGCATTAAATACACTAACAGTGTCGCGTAGCTAATGTTGTTTGCTCATGCACGCAACATTTGAACCACTTAAATGGTTAAATGACACACATTTATCTTCTCAAAAGTCTAAAAATACTAGCAACCAAACTCTTGAGGGTTTCAAACATTCGAAAATCAATGCAAACAGTCCACGGGGTCCTAAATTCACACATAACATTTGCATAAAAACAGTATTGTGCTCACCAGAAACTTTAGATCCCCGCAAAAGTTGCATTTCACATGCATTCTCCTTCTACACCTCACATGGGTGCTAATAAAAAAAATAGTTTCTCAGCCATATCTCGATGAATTCTCAAGACCTGTTCGCAGTGGACACTTTATTTTTTGTTCAATAATGTGTGTATTTTTCGGGCCTGCTGTTTCTTTCCCTCTAAACACACCGCAGCAGCGAGCGAGCGCTGGAGCTCGAGTTGATGGGCGCGTGCATTGTGGGAACGTGACGTCAGCCACTTTGGCCAACTTTCAGGGTTGGATTTCACTCTTATTTTTCAGCATTTAAAACATCCCAAACACTCACATGGCATTTTCTTGAGTTCTATAAATAAACTAAAAAAACAAATCTAGATTTCGTATAAATAATTTTCAAAAAAAGTAAGTAATTAGTTCAACTTACTAGATAAAGAACAATTAAAGTTTCTTAAATTTAACTTATAGCTATCATCTTATTATTATCATTAACAATACTGTTTTTGACAAGATATATTAATAAATCATAATTCGACTACTTTGCAACGTCCAAAGGTTTGTTTTTACTTTTATATGTGGGAACGAATGACAAACTTACACAATGTTTTTCCTCCATTTTAAATTAATTATGAATTGTTTTGAGGTAACGTTTAGCACAATTTCGTTTTTATGTTGAATAAAGGTTATGTAATGAGTGATGCTTTTCTAACATTGTTTCCATTTCACAATGGAGCGTTTTAGTTTCCAGCATGAACTAGTTTTCCACGAGCAACAATTGCATCCGGAAAAGTCTTATAAGAAACTGAATGTAGTAGCATAAGAAAAAGCAGTCAGGATCAGAAAAATTATTTGTCTAAAGTTCTTTAAATTGTTATATTATTATTATCGTCGGCAATTGCATATTGAAGAAGCTCAGCCAGTGTAAACAATTTATTTATAAGGATGATGTATTGATAAGAATTATGATACAGTCTAAAATAATGTATTAAATAAACCCAAGAATTACAGTAGTCAACATTTGAAGTGGATCAAGACCTTTCATCAAAGTTATACATTTTGACTTATACATGCCTTAGGACTAACATTTTTGGTTAAATTCAAATGTTGACTATAGTAGAGAATTAGCCACTATTCATATTTTTCCAATGTGGATAATGAAAACTAACTAATTTAAAATAAACAATCATATTTAGAATATTTGTAAAAATGCTATTAAAATTCATATAATAGCATTTATTTTACTTTAACAAAATAAAACAAAGCTATCACACTTGTAGTGCGAAAGACTGCTTTTAAAAACAATATATTTCTTAAAATTTTCAATTATTTTTACTTGCATCAATGCAAGAGAATTTTAAAACAAGGTTGCAGTATTTGCATAATGTTGTCTTTTAAAAATCAAATATATGCACACCTCACATCTAGTTTTTACTATTATGTAATTACTAACCATCTCAATACTCAATGACCCTTAATAGGAGAATATTAAAACAGAATTTTGTAATATTTAGTTTTTCAATCTTTTTTTTTTCAGCGAATAGTATAATTTTTTTAAACACAGAAAAAAAAGATAATCAAGCAAATAATGTATAATTGGGCATAGACGACTGAAAAATCATACTGAATATTGTGCAGTAATATGGATTGTTTGTTGGCATAGTGAACATTATATGGATAGTCTAGGAAAGGTTTCTAGTGTAGACTACAGAGACCACAGAGTTACTTGCCGGTGAGGACTACAGATTATGCATGCATTTTTCAGTCAATAATATATCATTGTTACACTCTAGTTAAGAGCAAGAGAGCAGAACATACTGTCAAGGGCAAAAATATTCACATCCTTAAATCTCCCCAGCAAAGCAAATTGCAGTTAAATTCGGGGTAACAACATTGAACATGAGCTAAACTTTAAATGGTCCTTGAAGAAGAACAGTAAGCAGGTAAAAAAAAAAATAAACCAGACCAGAAACATGTACTGTACATCTCAAAAGGTTTGCCAATGATAAATAATTGCTAAATCAAAGATATTACTTTATTTGAGACAAAGCACAAGAATGATATCCAGCTACTGAAGTATTTTAGAGAGCAGAGCATGACCAGAAAATGTAAATGAATTATATAAATCACCATGACTTTTATAAATTAATTTTTGTGACTTAACCAGGCCGGGAAAACAATTTTAACTCGATTGTTGCACTCTATTGCTGTTTTATGTGTTTTTATAGAATAGCATTTTATTGTTTGAAGTTTCATTTGCATATGGTCTTTGAGAACATAACTATAACACATAAAGAGAACTTCATTTGGTTTTTACTCTGGACTAGGAGATTTATCCATAAGTCTTTATTCAGCTGCCACTTTATGGAAATGTACATCATAGATACAAAGTAGAAAATAACAGTAAATCCACTGAGAGCTTAATCCATATCATGTAATTCATATTAGTGAAGTTTCTGACTCAATATAAATACCTTGGTGCAAAAGGCCACCATGGAGTCAATACTTGGTTTATACATTTTAAATTCACAATTTAAAGTCTCAGTCCTGAAAAAAAATCTGTCCCCCTTATTCATATTCTTCCTGACAGACACATACAGGATAGACAATTCTGTGGAGAAATGATAACATTTTTTGTTTTTACATTTCTTATGATTCCCCAACTTTTAAAGGGCAAAACAGACTTTTTATATCACAGGATAGCATGCCTTATTTCAGATTTGCTACCTAATGAAATTCAGTGGCAATTTTGGCTTAAGACATGTTGATGATGAACACTGAAAGGCTGTACAAGAAATGACGTGAGCTGGCATCTGTTTGGCAGGAATATAACCAACACGAGAGTCGAATCATAAACCCATAACCGAGGGAAACACGGCTGTTCCTGCAGAGGGAAAAGAGCATCAGAAGTCCATCTAACAACATTTGCTTAACTTATGCACACATAAAAATGACAAACAGGACAAAAGAAAGACTTTTTAAAATGACAGGGACATTCTTTGTTGGAAACATCTCAGTTTTTTTTTAAATTACACTGCAGCGATAAGACAAAAATATTTCCCAGGGTAACTCAATGGCCAATATTTGGTCAATATTCTGCCTTTTTGGGCAGTTTACCTCCTCATTGTGTCAGTTACAAAAATCTACCAAAATATAAATCTATCCATCACACTACTAATGCAACTCAACCAGGCTTCGCACATTTTTGCCATGTATGCCTTAGTCTGAAATGATTTAAATGAGGAATAATGTGATGTATAAGTAAATATGATATAAAATTAGTGTGCATTTCATTGTATTATTTCAATGTATTTCATTATATTATGTATACAGCATATTGGCAAATTAGCTCACAAGACATCAGTATTAGAATTTGATAAACCCATACTGGTCAACTGTGAATGCATTGCAAAAATATTTACTTCTACAATTTACCACCCTTTTAAAATATTATTCTATTATGTATGTAATAATTATTGTATATAAACATCAGCAATGATATATATATATATATATATTATGTGAAATAATGTCACTGCCGTGTCAGTGATTCGTACTTTTTGGGCTACCTTGACCGTCTGCAGAGTCAATGTCTGGGACTTTCCAGTCTTGCTTGCGTCCTTTCTCATAAAGAGCCTTGAGAACCTTCCGGAACTCTTCCTTTCCTCCGTTATGACTCAGCTCCAGGTACTTCCTGTACAACTGTAGGGCAGTCCGTGCATCTTCAATGCTATCATGAGTTTCACCCTGGATGTTCAGATCTAAACAAATATTCAAAAAGCCATAAAACGCTGATGCACGGAAAATGACATATGAGGTCAAGAGATAAGGAAATTTCATGCGAGAAACCTACCTAGGAAGTACCATGCCAGGAAACGCAGAGAAATCATTCGTTTCCTAGGCATGTGGAAGAGGTAGACGGTGTCAATCACCTGGTCTTTTGGAACCTAGAAAATGTGAGGGGCTTAATATCGGTTTCCATTTTAAACTTACTTTCCACATACTAAATAAAATATAAACTCACACAAAGTCAACTCACCATCAAGTTAATGACCCGAAAATCCTTCTGCAAGCCGTGGCCTACAAAGCGAACGCCAGTGTCGATAAGGAACCGCAATTTAAGATACGTAGACTTCAGAGTAGTCAAGTGTTTGGATGAAATCTTTGCATCCAGGTCTCCAGGTTTGATACCAGAATACTGAGTCAGGTAGTCCACCACCTGTACATGCAAAAAGGTTAAACTAGTAAGAAGTGGAAAGTGTTTTCCCAACATTTTGAACATGATTTCATGTTTTTGACAAAAATACCGAAAGCACATGTACAGTAATATGGAAAGTGATTCACCTTACGCTTAAATCATTCAAAACTAATGACCGTTATAATGACGGTAATATCAGATCTCTCCTGATAAGGCACAAAACTGAGGTTCTCGCTTTATGAGGTCATTAAAAAGCCCTTATCATTTCCAAAGGTAATTTCCCTATTATGCGAGTTACATTTTGGCCACATACACACAGCCGCTAAATTCGGTTGTTAATTCAGCTTTTAGTGCTTAAACATTTTCTGTACACACAAAGTTTAGTCATTTACAGGAGTGACAAGCACATTCTACGATCAAATTAAAATACCGCATTTACAAAAATTTGCAGTTTGTACAGAACCGAACTGTATAGCTGTTGTTACTGCCGTAATAAAACGCAAACGTTACTCTTCTGTATCTGTGCAGTGCAAGAAAGTCACAGGGAAAGAGGTATGAGCCCTGACTTACCTGTGTTGCCAGATATTGCTAGAAAAAAACACTGAACCAGAAACAAGCTCATTACAATTAAATACAAATAATTCCAAATGTAGGGATGCACGATATATCGGCCACATTATCGGTATCGGCCGATATATCATCATTTTTAATGTTATCGTTATCGGCCCAACAAGAACATTTAGCCGATATCTAAAAGCTGATAAATAATGTATTGGACTGTTCAACATGATGCTTTTAAATAGCTTGAAATACGATTGAAATCACTTTAAAAAAGGAAAATCCAGTTAAAGTGCAAAATGTGCAGCGCAAGTCTGTCATGTCGGCTACAAAACATTAAAATAAGAACATCATAATTGTGTGTGTGTCTTGGCTTTTAATGAGGAGACTTTTTATAATCAGGCTCTCAAATTTTATAAAAATGTGGATTTAGATTTATCGGCCAATATATCTGTTATCGGCTTTTAAATATGAGAATTATCGGTATCGGCCAAAATTGTCATATCGGTGCATCCCTATCCAAATGTTTTATATTGAAAATCGTGCCTCTCACCTTCCCACTTTAATAACTTGAACGTTTTATGAGCCAAGCTTATACAACAACCCCAAAACGCTTATATTAAGTGGACATGGCAGAGCGCTCTGTGACGAACACGACACCTCTGTCGGGGTGTCGTAGTTTCAATTGCAAAACACAACGGCTGCATACGAAATCACAAACTTCCCTACTATATAATAGGCAAAAAACAGTACTCATAAAAGAGTAGGCCGAAAAATATCCCCGGATGACATAATTCATCCATAGATTCGGAAGTGATTTCAGACACTTTACTATCCCATGATGCCGCGAGAGCAGATTTATGAATGGCAGTGAAGAGATGTAACCGACACTGTTAGGTACGTGATAATGACAACATGGCGAATGTAGTCCAGATTACACTCATACTACATAGACTCAGGTACGGTTCACACTACTGCGTTTTCGTTTTAAAAATGGAGACCTTTTGCTACGTTTGCACATCCCGTCCAAACTAAAATGGAAAAAACGAAGACCTAAAACGGAGAAGTTTAGAAACGCCGCAGCTCCGTTTTGAATCTCCGGACAGCGTTTTTAGTGAAGACAGGACAAAACGGAGGAGTTTAGAAATGAGGACGCAGAGGCTCACGCTCGGCTCTAAGATTGGGCGTCATCAGTCGGCACGCGCATGCCCAGTGTTAGTGAATGGTCACGTGATCCGCGTTTTTAGTCGTTTTAATACGCAGATAAAAAGCTGGTGTGGACGGAGATAGTATTCGTTTTAATTCTCCGTTTTTAAACGAAATCGCAGTAGCGTGGACGGGGCCTCATACTACATAGAATGTACTTTTGTTGTGGTTGTGAGGTAATTACTTATTAAAAATAACTACCTACTTAAGAGAGGATGTGATTTCGGACACAGGCAATAAATCATTTGTAATATTATTATTTTTCGCAAAAATAGCGGATCCAAGACTTTTGCTATGACTCCCACGGAGCCATCACAGATTGTGTTCAGTACACACAAACACAATGATAATTTAGGGGATTCACTCCCATATTAAAATTTGGTTGTCACTCCTGCAACTTTACAGTGTGTACATGTCCTTGGAATGTTTTGACAGAGTCTTGACCTGTTCCTGTGTCGATATGTAGTCATCAATGAACGGCACTCCCTCATTGGGACCCTGGCCTCTCACGCATGTGATCCGAGCGACAGACATCTGGCTGGGCTTAATGGTGGACTTGGTCCCGTCACTGCGCAGTTCTGCCTCTTCCTGTTCAAGCACACGAAAGCAGTAAATATTTAGGGTAGGAAAAAATATTTTTCTAAAATGACCGAATATTAGTGTTTCCAACTGACCTGGTTGAGTGTGACAAACTCTGCGTCTAATCCAACAAGTTCCCCAGCCTGCGGCATCTCGCTCATCATTAGGGGGATGAAGGTGGCGTGACTCTTCCTCTGTTTCCGTGCCAAGGAGGCCTCCGTCAGCAGAACGCTGGCCTCAATGGGGTTCTTAACTATGAGGAAATGGCGTAGATACAGGAATAATTTAAATGATACAAAAACAAAACAGCTACAAAACAAATGCCACCAAAGCTACAACAATATACATGTGTATTATAAAGGTTTACAAGGAAACTTCATAACCTTTTTGTGCCAACATTAAAATATTTTTTGTAAGATTACACAATAGAACAGTTCAAAAGTTTTGGGGGAGGAAGATTTGTTTTAATGTTTTTGAAAGTGTCTTATTGTGTGATATTGTGAAATATAACAAATTAAAATAAATGTTTTCTATTTAAATATATTTTAAATTGTAATTTATCCCTGTGATGCAAAGCTGTATTTTCAGCATCATTACTCCAGTCTTCAGTGTCACATGATCCTTCGTAATTAATTCTAATATACTGATTTGCTGATCAATGTTGCAAACAGTTGAGCTGTTTAAATATTTTTTGAGGGTTCTTGTTTTTATCTTTCAGGATTCTTTGATTAATAGAAAGTTCAAAAGAACAGCATTTATTTAAAACAGAAATATTTGTAACATTATAAGTCTTTACTGTCACTTTTGATTGATTTAATGCATCCTTGCTATGTATAGTATACTAAGTGTATATTACAAATGTTACATTATTATAATAAAATCCTAGCAAAATGTGTGTGTGTGTGTTTTTTTTTTAGAGTGTGTGTGATAACTGATACACTTTTAAAGAGAGGATGTATTTAAAGTCAGATAAAGCATCACATACTTCGCAAATCATACTTGGCGTTGTAGTTCCTCTTGGTGTAGTAAAGTACAGCCGGAACCTTCCAGTTCGCATCAAACTGTGCTGATTCAGCCTTTTGAAGATAGATAGATTGAAGATGTCATAAAAAAGGTTTTACTGAGCTAATACATTACAGTGTATATGGGGTGTGTAAAGTGGAAATGACTGATGTTTGGTATTTTTACCTTGTCAATCGGCTCAATCAGAAAATCGTTGAACAGATACCACTGCTGGTGTGTTACTCCCTGAAAGCAAGACACAGAAATCTCAGTTCATGTCCAACATATCATGTCAAATATCTATAAGTGCTTAAAAGACTTTGCTCACTTCTTTCCTCTGATGGTAGGTCTCGCCCACTTTGATATGTGCCACCAGGTTTCCTCCGGTCCGAGCATCTTGGATGTGAGACACAGTGACGACCAAGTCATAGACAGAAGCCCCATCTGCCTCTGCACTTTCAGTCAGCTATAAGAACAAATAAGTCACAATTTGGTTGAGCAGAGTTTACTTTTAATAACCTCCAATGTCATCTGTCTGAGGACAATCCTTGATACGGAAATCCTTGAAATCCTTCATTTGTTGTAAAGAGTGAAAAGCTGTTCCTCACCTCCTCTCCCTCAGACAGGCTGCTGACCTCCAGGCCCTGAGACTTACTAATGCACATCTTCAGACTAAGAGGGATCCACACGTGCCTCATGTCCTCCGCTTGAGAGTCAAATGTCAAGCCCTCCGCACTGCACAGCTCTTCCCTGTACACAACATGTGCGCACGCACGCACACACACATAATTAGAATATATATGTATCAGGGTTAGAATGTGATCATTTATGTTTGGGCCTTTTTTTGGGGCCTGAAATCGCTGATACAACCTTTATTGAAATAAAGCATAAAAAAGCTGAAATAAAATATAAATATTAGTTGAAAAACTTAATCTAGGCAAATATAAAATTATAAATGTTGCACTGGCAAGTTTAAGTTGAAGCACTAAAATTATTAACTGGAAATAATTCAAATTAAATAGTATCATTTAAAAAATATATATTAAAATGCACATATTGAAATGACTAAAAATGTAACCAGAAATTCTCCAATCATCACACTTACTCTAAACACCATTCTGTCGGTAGAGGCTCTTTGGGTTTGTGAGGTTCAGCAGCCTCTTTCTTCAGGGCTTTGTTGAATGCATACTGTAAACAAAAAGAATATTAATACTAATATTGCTGAATGAATGGAAAATCAAGACATATCAATGTGACTAGAGTTTTTTACACCAAATATATACCGATCAGCTGAATGAACAGGCTGTTGCATTGCTAATGAGGATTTTTAACTCACGACGCAAGCGAATGTGTACAGAATTAGAGAACGTTAAAGGGAAGATTTATGGCTGTAAGTACATGACTATATATTCTGCCAATAGAAAGGGATATGGGTCTGACCTCAGTCTGTGCCTTCCAGAACTCTGCCTCTTTAGCACTGTTCACCTCACAGTTGATCACCAGAACATCAGGCAGACAGCGAATGTTCCTGGTCTGCACCTAAAAATAGATATGCATTTAGTATTTAGCCATACACTGGATGTACACTACCGTTCGGTAATATTTTTTAATGTTTTTTAAAGGAGTGTCTTATGCACACACATTCGACCAATAAAACAGTAAAACAGTAATAAAGTTACATTTTATTACAATTTAAAATAAACATATATTTTTTAATGTAATTTATTCCTGTGATGCCAAAGCTGATTTCTCATTTCTTCAATCTTCAGTGTCACACGATCCTTCAGAAGTCATTGTAATCATTCATCAAATTTTGTAAGAGAAAGAGGGAATGACTTACTGTTGGCTGGTATTTCTCACAGTTCTCACACCAGGCCTGTGTGCTCTGTTCCAGACAGATACTCTTCTTCAGGATGTCTGCGAAGTCATATTCCTCTATCGTCTTATCTGTCCACATCCAATTAAAAGAGCAATCCAATTATTTAATTAATTTCTAGAACAAGAAAAATCTAAATCAAACCACTTTCCACCAAACCTTTAAAAACTCTAGCAAAACATCTGTAATGCATGCATATAGATGTGTGAATGATGTGTGGGTTTGGTGGTTCTGACCCTGAGAGCTGTGCTCCGGGTAGTGCATGGTGAACAGCAGAGTCAGAGAAGAGCGAACCGTCTCCTTTCCACAGCGACACAAACTGCTGTTCTCCACTTCACAGCCAAACAACCGCCCAATCACAGACTCCCCTGTGGAACCCAGCGCACTGCCATGGACACAAAACACAAATTTTTTTCAGTTCTTGTGTAATCTGTTGCATTGAATTGATGGGGCTTGTGTTTCATGAATGATGCAGATCCACTGTGGAGTCCACACCTGCTGCTGGCTCCTCTGTACGCCTGTGGTCCTTCCTGCTCCAGTGTTTCCTGATGCAGCTGTGCGAGAATAAAACGGTTCCAGCTCTGGATGAGACGTCCGAGACGGGCTTTCCCTGTCTGCTCATCAGAGTCAGCCAGGATCAAACCCAAGGCCGATGCCTCGGGAATTGTCCGGAAAGCCCGGAGAAAATTACTGGCCTGTGAAGGAAACAAACAAACAAATGCTCTGTGTATGTGCATATGCTATGCTTGACTGACAGGTCTGGTGGAATAGATCTCCAACCACAGATGGGGATGACTCGGAAGATCGTATACCTGGCAGGGGTCTCCTCTACTCAAGTCCAGCATGTGAAAAAGGAAGCCCAGCTCACAGGCAAGGCAGAACTCCTTCTGGCACAAGTGATTCTGTACCAGGCACCTGATTGGCTCCAGGAAGTACAGCACCTGTCACAGCACACACAGGGTTAACTATTAATAAAATTCTAGAGAGCTAATACATTCAAAGTGAAAGTTGTGCATTCGCAAAATTCCTTAGAGAGGACAAAAAAATCCCAAGGACTTTTTTACAGTAATCGGCATGTGACGTTTTGGGATTTTTTTTTTTTTTTGAGATTCAGCAGACAAACTTTAAACTGTATTTAAACTAAAATATTAAACATATAGTATATATAATATGTATGCATTTACTTTACTTTAAAATATGTATGTACTTGCATATTGATTATTATTTATCTTTAATTATTAATAAATATAATAATAATATTGCCGTAACAAGAGAGTGTGTTTGTATTTTCACCTGGATCATGCAGTTACAGTAAGCATTGGGTATGTGAGGCTCCAGACCAGCAAACAGGGTCCGGTTATAGTGCTTAAAATCAAAGTCTTCCAGTCCCAGTTTGGAATATTTAATGGTCACCTGACATAAGAACAAGTCATATTATCAGAACAGCCTTATCCCAGTGTTTCAGGTGTACTTAATAAACATGACAATCACTACGGATCCCACAATAGGGCATTGTGATTAATCATTCATATTTTATTATTCAACTGCAGCAAACTTTCTTTGACCTCAGTTCAGTTTTTGTTCTAAAAACAATATATATTACATCATCTCTTCTAAAAGGAATATGCAAATATTTGTAATTCAAAAAAATCACCAAGATCAATGGTTTATGCACAATAATGGCTCATCTCTACCTTCCTGTATTTCTTTGGAATCATGTAAAGATGTGGCTCCTCATCTCGACCAATAGGAGACTCCGGGACCTGATTATAGCTGTCATACTCAAGTTCTACGTCTTTTATCTTATAAGGAACCTGGGAAAAACAGAGATAAATTGTGTAAAGAAATTACCGGTTATACAGCATTACTGAACTGAAGTGATTGACACATAGTCAAATAACATACCAAAGACACTGGATCAGCTACATTACTTTAAGATATGACTTCACTCTTATAACATATGGAAAATGTTTGTCTTGACTAATTTTAATTGCTCAATAATTGTTTAGTAAGTAGTTTACACATTTCATGATGCTGAAATCATTGAAACATTTCAATTCAGCATTTTGCCATCTTTAGAATCAAGTTTGAAAAGAGCACATGCTTGCCTGGTTTCTGGGACGGGTTCTAGGATTGGGGGCATATCCAATAAAGCCCACAGTCTTCATAGTCCTAAGAATCTCTGCATCTACTGCAGGGGCTCGTCTGACACAGTGAAAAGAATAAACATCAACAAACCCCATTCAACTCTCATTTGTTGAGGAGGGAATTGATATGCATAAACTACATAAATAAAATTGGTATCAATAAAACTAAATGTGTGAGATACAAGATATTATTTTGCTCAAATTGAAAAATATCACAACAAATCCAGTTCTAGTATTTATGGTCATAACCTAGAATGAGACATACTGCAGGGGGCAGTATTACTCAATAACACTCGGATACAGGGGATGTGTGCAAAATACCATTCTACTGTATGACATTCTGCAAAAAATAGTATTCATATTGTGCACAGTATGCAAACTGAATGTGTGCATGGATAGATGACCTACTAAATATGCCAAAACATGCAGTATACAAATGATAAAATATTTTGAAATATTTATATATGCAATATCTTTGAAAAGTTTGGGGTCAGAAAGAAAGAAATACTTTTATTCTGTAAGGATGCATTAAATTGATTAAAAGTGACATTAAAGACATTTACAATATTTTCAAATAAATGTTGGTCAGAATCATGCCAAATTATGCATGTTTGCCACAAAAAGTGGTACAACTGTTGCCATTGTCAAAAATCTTTCTTAAAGGGATACTCCACTTTTTTTGGAAATAGGCTCATTTTGCAACTCATTTGAGTTAAAACAGTTGAATTTCACCGTTTTTGAATCCATTCAGCCGATTTTCTGATATTTAGAAGAATATCAGTAACCAGACAGTTTCTGGTCCCATTGACTTCCATAGTATATTTTTTTCCTACTATGGAAGTCAATGAGATTCTTCTAAATATCAGAAAATCGGCTAAATGGATTAGAAAATGGCAAAATTCAACTGTTTAACTCTGGGGGAGTTGTAAAATGAGCCTATTTCCAAAAAAAAAGTGGAGTATCCCTTTAAGCACCAAATCAGTATTTTGGAATGATTTCTGAAGGATCATGTGACACTGAAGACTACAGTAATAATACTGAAAATCTTTGCCATTACAGGAATAAATATATATTTTTTAAATGTATTAAAATAGAAAACCATTATTTAAATTGTAATACTGAAATCAACATTTTTACTGTATATTGATCAAATAAATGCAGCCTTGGTGAGCATAAGCATGTATAAGGCAGAATGAGGCTCAGTCATACCTGGGGCTGGGCGTGATAAGGGAGGCTGGCCAATCAGAGAGCAGGGGCTCTGTGCTGGTAAGGGGCATTGGCAGAAGGCACAGAGGCATGAGCTCATGGTTCCAATCCAGCTGGGGCAAGGAATCCACCAGGCAGGGCAGAGCTAACTCCGTCTCTCTGGAGTAACTGTTGAAGGACACCTCTGGGGCGCTGGACCACAGGTGCACACCGCCACCAGAGTCCCCAAAGGAGAGCGCCTGTTTGCTGGATGACACATCAAAGCTCATCAGCAGCTGCCCCACTGTGTTGACGTGGAAGATATCAGCCAGACTGGCCAGGCCGGTGGGCTCGCAGAACTGACACTGACCTACAACGACACACACACCAGGATCTCAGTGGCAAATAATAAGCAATAATATTTTTGTATAATATTTGAATGTATTTTTTATTTTATTTTAATACCATTATTACAAAACTCTGTTGTAAACAGGTATCTTCAGTCATACATCGTCTTATGAACAATAGTGAGTAAATAGACTAATACATCACAGTAAAGGTTACAGGTTTATTTCGAATCGAATTTAATGGAAAAATGGCTTGCCGTTTAGTGGAGTCAATTGTAAACTCAGTAAGAATCCTGAATGATTAATTGGTGACTAGGTGACTTATGATTCTCACAAATCAGTGAGTCTAATTGAAACCTGATTCAAAACCAAAAGGGTTTTTTGTGTAAATCTTTTTGACAAAGATGAAAAAGAACCTGTTTGTAAGAGAAAGATTAAGAGCCATCCCCATACAGCATAGAATCAATACATTTTAAGTCACTAAAAAAAAATAAACGGTTGTCAACAGCTAAATTGCTTGCCATCAGATTCTGTTCCTCCCATGATTCTCATACAAAAAGGTTCTATTTATCAAACTGATGCTGATTAAGATTCATCACATGATCTATATGCACAGTATGTGAGAGAGTAATAAGTACAAGACTGTTATCAATTACCATATTTTTGTAAAGAAGACATTTTATTTTTTTCTACAATCTATTAATTACAAACCAATTATTTTTTTAATTAAATATTTTAATTGAATAAAAATATATAGTTCATATAGAACTTCTCCCAAATAAATGTTAATTTATCACAATTTTCTTCTGCACATTTGCGACCTGTCTGGAGCCCTGTAAGGGCAAATAAGTCGTGCACCAAGTTTAAAAATACTCACATATTGTCATTATGTTTAACCTCTGTGAAATCTTTAAAAACTCTTTCTCTTTTCTCTTACAACTTTTTTCCTTTTTGTTCTGATTTCAACCAAACCCCAAATGCTAAAAATCAAACTACAGCCAATATTTTGTTCTTTTTCAAAAAAAATAAAATAAAAATTTCTCTTTCTTGAAAATACAATATATTATGCTGAGTGAGAATGTCTTCAAGTCAAGGACATTGCAATGCATGTCTGAGACACTGTTGAGCTTCTTCAGCAGAATTAGTTCATGTGACCGACCAAAAGTCCCACAGTTCTTCAACAGATCATGGACACTTAATGTTCTCTTTTTAGTGGTAATAGTTAGGTAAATACCAGGACTAGCACTTCTGAAACACACACATGCATCATACCTGTTTGTGAAATGATAGCCAGACGGGAGGTGTATGTGGGGATAAAGCGGAGAAAAACGGGGTCCACATGGACCTGCAGTGGGCTGATGGCCCTCATCATGCGTAGGTCATACACCATGAGGAACCGGTCACATGACAGTCCATTCAGGCCACGGCTCGAGAAACCACATGCCGCTAACAGGTTACCATGTACGTCGAAATCTGACAGGCTTCCGGAGAACGCGTCAAACTCATACTCCATTTTAAATGTACGTACATCACGCAGAGACACCTGTGACAAACAATTCAGAAATGACAATGGGGAGATTAATTTAACAATGATTACTATATATTTTTACCATATACTTTAGAGATTAAGGTAATGCTTATTGATGAGATGAATGCATTCAACAATAATGGTTGGAGTAATCGTTCATTATCAATAAATCTACGCCAGAAACAAATGAAATTTATTTGCAGCAGTAAGATTTTAGGTTAGTCACTGTGATGGATTTTCTATCCTCAAACCTAACTATTTTAGATTTGTCTCCCTGAGACTGACTATTCTAGTATAACCTATACGCTAGCGTGTCTAAATTACGTTAGCTACGTTCACACATCAGCGAGTCTCCAGTCGACTACAGCGTCCGCTCCCTCTACTATACTTGCGCAACTTTAATGACAGACAGACTTGAGTAATTATCCTTTAAATGTTCTTTATTACAGCCAGAAGTCTCTCGAGCAGTCTCAGAGAATCTCCCAAAAAGAAGCAATAAGCATGGCCGGTGGATCTCGGACAAATCCCATTGAGAATCCCCCGAGTAAACACAAATCCAACAGTTTTATCGAATAAGGAGGTAACCAACCTTACTTAATTTGATTGGTTCTTTGTTGACAAGCCCTTCGGTTACTAGGTAACCAAACTCTGTTTTTAGTTTCGAGTTTAGACACCTGTCTAGTTTCATTTCCCAAATTATGCTATTTATACACACACACACTCATGGGTTTTCACACATGCATTCATCCAAAGTACAAAACGTTTTAGTACATTGTTTCAGAGTGTTAGCATGTCTAATAAGGTCAAATGTTAAAACATGGTCAGCCCAACATTCAGCCTAAAATTTCCACGACATCACCTTTGAGTTTTTTGCTGTATACAAATATGTATTTCATTCATAAAACTGCATGGATAAAAAAAAGAATCTTACAAGAATTTGTAGAAGAATGTTGTTTAAAATACTATATTTAAACAAATGTTGGCAAATGACATGAGCTGTAGTTGCTAACAAAATAAATATTTTCATTGAACTGCAATGTGATCATATAAACTGTTGTGGTGAGACAGATCGATCCATGCGCATAAAGCTCTTCCACTTAATTTTGTAGACAAGCTGAAAATTCCAACTACCAAATAGTCTGAGCTGATCTGCATGTGAGAAATTTAGGAATGTATGAATGAACAAAAAGAAAAAGCCCTATGTATTCTACCCGTGCTTGTAGCTAAAGTGTAGGCAGCACGTTCCCACACGAGATAACAGCAAAACTTTTCACACACCACATCCCTCTATTTCTGTGGGAAAAGCAAAAGGAGGAAACAGTGTGTTCCACATCCATTTTCGTTTAACTCCTTCACTCACCTTGCCAGATGTGTGACCGCAAAAAAAGAAGCGATTGGACTGTCTCATGATGGCGACTCCGGGCACTTCAACAGTAAACTAGAAGATATGAAATGAACACTTTAGAAAAAGATCTCTGAAACATCCCATTTTAAATGTTGTAAAATGAGTCTTGAAAACATTCATAGATGCATTAATCTAAAAAAAGAATTTTAAACATAATATACAAATTAATACAAACTGAAAATAATGAAATGAATGCCATTAAAAATAAATATGAATTAAAAAATGCAAATATATATATATATATATATATAAAAACACGAAAACAATAAACATTAACAAAGTTATAAACAAAGCTGAACTATAAAATGTTAACATTTATTTTTATCATTATTTCTAAAAGAAACAAAGAAAATATGCTATCTAGATATTTTAATTGTTTAATGATCAATAAAAAAAATCAGTCAAATATACAAAATATTTATATGCATTTTTATAAAAATGAAAAGTTTATTTTAAACAGTTTATTAATAAATTCTTTATAAAAATAGGTAGAGCTAGAAAAGTATTACTGAAGTGGTATTGTATCATCTTACTTTTTGTGTTTCCTGTACTGTGGTGAGGTCAAGTTCTACCACGTAGTTCTGCAGACCCCCCATTAACAATGTGTTATTATCGTTCAGAATCAAACTGTGCATGTCGGCACCCTCCTCCATTCTGAAAACAAAATGAATGAATGAACACCTGCACATAGGCATAACACAAGAAAATAAAACCATTTTTTACAGTATTCACAGTATCTTCTGTATGATCTGTTCTGTTACAAATCACACCAGTGCTTGTCTGGACACGTAAATGTAGTATATATGTAGGTGTGCAACTCACGGATAATCAAACATAATAAGACCTCCTCGCGTGAGGCATTTGAGGTTGTTTTTGGTCAGAAACAGCACCCCTGTGTCCATACTCTGGATGTGGCGAATGTCATCAGTCATGTGCACCTGGAAAGAGGAGTAGCGGCCCATTGTCGGACCAAAGAAGGAACTTGCATGTCCCTGTTATGAAAGAGAGGAAAGAACAATCGCACACACACCCAAGTCAGTAATGCGGCTCAGGCTAGTGAATAAAATGACATCATCTAATTGTGGAAGTACATCAGAGATACTGCATTTGATCACTGTCCAAACCACAGCTGAATTTTTGGAGTGAGATTAAACTTTAACCTTAAATCTCCCAAATTCAATAGAAATATTCATCCATTCATGCAGAATTTTTGGTGAAAACACTTTCTATGTTGTCTCAATTATAGCTTGGTGTTTTTTCAGTAAATGACATAAATGCAGTAATAATGCGTCACTTCACCCGGTGGTTCCCCATCCACAGGAGCTCCTCCTGCAGGTCGAAATGTGTGGCCGTCACGGGGATCCCGACCTCAGCAGCCACGCTGTGCAGCTCCGAGTACATGCCCTCCACTATGTGCACGGAGTCGGACACTGGCACGGCCAACGCATCGGGGTCGAGCTCCACGCCCTGCATCAGCGCGGGGTCGAGCCGCGGGTCCAGGGAAGAGTCCAGACCGGGCTCCAGGTTGCCGTGCAGGCCAGGCGCGTATTCGCCCAAGCCCGGGTCCAGACCCTCGAAGTTCATCATGGGGATGGTGATGCTGGGTTAGAGGGACAGCAAAATTAGGTCAAGGGTGCCTTTTGTGTCCTTTATGAATAAATATGACTTTAAATCTTTTTTTTCCTGTGTTATTAAAGGTTTTGTTCTTAATACATCAACAAAAAATCCTTTAACTTTTTATTTAACTTTCATCCTCCTCCTTAATTAAATGGCTTTATGGTTTCCCAGCTCTGTGTTTCCAATTTTTTTTTAAAATCTAGAATGATAAAATCCCCCCCCCCCTATCTCCCGATATCCCCCGATATAATATATCTCATATTATATCTTATTATCTTATATATATATATATATACACATTTTACTAATTTATTTAATATTTTGCTCAAATTGACGTTAAATTAATTTTTAGTTAGTGTCATGAAATTGATCAGGCTAGTAATAGCTGAAATAAAATCTATACATATTTTAAAAATGTATAAGAAATTTACATTAATTTAGCAGACACTTTTATCCAGTGAATTACAAATGAGAACAATTAAAGCAGTTAAACAATAAGACAACAATATGCAAGTGCGATGATCCTTCCCAGTCTAACACAGTACATGGTGCTTTTTTTAAAATAAATAAATCGATGTAGAATAGAAAAGAAAGTGTTAGTTTTAATGGATCAAGTGTTGCCGAAAAAGATGCGTCTTAAGCAGTTCCTTGAAATGGCTACAGATTTAGCAGTTCTGGTTGAGTTAGGCAGATCATTCCACCAGCAGAGAACAGTCAAGGTAAAGGTCAGAGAAAGAGATTTTGTGCCTCTTTGAGATGGCACCACAAGCCGATATTCACTTGCAAAGCGCAATTTTCTGAATGGCACATTAGTCTGAAGTAATGAGTTTAGGTAAAAGGGAGCAGAGCCAGTGGTTGCTCTGTAGGCAAACGTCAGTGACTTGAGTTTGATGACAGCGGCAACTGGCAACCAGTTCAATTTTGTGAGGAGAGGAGTGACGTGTGCTCTCTTCAGCTCATTAAAGACAAATCTGCTGCAGCATTTTACAGTGCAAGCTGGAAGACCACCCAGGAGAGCATTTCAATAGTCCAGTCTGGATAGAACAATTGCTTGGACAAGGAGTTGTGTAGGTGGGCCTGATCCTCCTAATGTTGTATGAGGCATATCTGCAGGACAATGGCAGTTCTAGCGATGTGGTCTGTGAAGTTCAATTGATCAATCACAACTCCTTGGCTGATGTTGATGGAGTTATGGATGACGAGCCTAGCTGAATGGAGAAGTTGTGGTGTAGTGTAACTTGTGTAGGCAGGCTGACAGCCTGTTCAGAATGGAAAGGCACCCTTTTAGATAGTGGACCCAGTTGTGGAGACTTAACTTATGTGCTTCTTTTAAAAACCTACAGTGAGCTGCCTACCTAGACAGCATTTTTGAGCACCATGAGTTCAATAAACGCATTCCAATTCCGAGTGAATCGCCTAGTATTACACTCATTACCGCTATCTAGGTAGAGAGCTCTGTAGGGTTAGAATCACAACAGAGTAAGTTACTGTTGGACTCTACATAAATAAAAGCGGCGCTATTTTACCTTGTGCGACAGTTTTTCGGTTTCCTACCGCAGTACAAACAAGAAAAATGTTATATGCAAATCTTTTTTAAATTGGGCGTGCGTTAATACATCTGAATTAAAGAGCAACGACGTTATTTGTTTTCTTTGCGTGGAACGTCTGACATCTAACGTTACACTCACGATTTCAAATAGCGAAAAGTCCTTTTGACAACGTAACAGGAATGGCCTTAAAATGTGTAATTTGAACATTTAACAGGATAAATCATACCTTTAGACTACAGTTATCCTCGGATCCATACACACTAGTCCCTTCATTCAAAACAAAAACAAGCACGCACTTCCGGGTGAGATATTCTTCTTCTTCTTCTTTGCTTCTAATGGCGGTTGGTGACCAGCTTTTGGTGCATTATCGCCACCTTTTGCTCCGGAGTGTGAATCAGACAAGAGGTTTACAATCTAGTTTCCACACAAACGTAGATTAAAAAAAAATAAAAAATAAAAAAACTTATAACACACACACATTCATTCATTTCACAACACAACACACTTTCCATATCCCAGTTTATCCTCATAATCTCTTAAACAAACCAGTTTATCTTAAGAAAGTAAACAATATTCTAACCTGTGCTGTCACCTATATTCAACACACCTTTTAATGTTAATTCCCGAACTCTTAATTCCCTCAAATTATTCCTCATTATCTCTCTCATTATCTTATCCTAAAAAGATGTGCTGCACTGACTCCTCTTCCTGACACCATCACACACGTCTCATGTTTCCTATCATTTTCAGTGATTTGTTTAGAACGGATCCTCCTAACAAATCTTCTATTTTAATGTTCTTCTATTAATTCCTTTAGCAAGTATTCACCATACTGTCACTCCTGTCTTAGGTTTCTTAGAATATATATATATATATATGAATTTATTATAATCTTTATTTATACTTGAATACCTTTACCAAATCTTTTGATCTTTTTCTTTCCTTTTTAACTCTAATGCCAGTCAATATCTGGCCAAACCATGGAGCCACCATTACACAACTGCTGGGCTCGTCTTCATATCAAATACTCCTAATTCTTTTGTTCGGGTGAGATCGAACCTCATACGGGATATGAACGGTGGCTAAAATGAATATTATTTTGTCTATCTGCCTGAAATAAGTTTTAATTCTGAAAAAAAAGAAAAAAAAATAGAAAATATTCCACTATAGAAAAGTTTAGAAAAATATTTCAATTATTATTCTCTCTCTCTCTGTTTTTTTTCCCCCAGTAGACTCAATAGATTTATTTCAAGGCTTTTGTTGATACAATTATATATATATATATATATATATATATATATATATATATATATATATATATATATATATATAAACAGGACATCTTCTAAAAAACTTGACATCTAACATCAAATACTATGATGTTCGTTAGTAGAGGTATATTCAGGACAGAAGACATTCTGTGCACGCTTTAGGCTTGGTTTGCGGACATAGTCTCACTTCCTCCGATAACCTAATAGAAAACTCTCAAAAGGGGGAACTATGTCATTCAGGGTTCTAAGAACAGTGAGTGGTTATAGGTTTACAGCTTGGAAGTTCTATCTAAACGGGAGAATTGTGTTGCTCCATCAAAATGCAGATGAAAGGGCGAAACATTTGTGAATGGGAAGATCTGCAGAAGAGATCTACCACCTCAAATTCTCACGAATGTCTTATGTGCTTGAGGTGGAAGAAAATTCCTGTAACTTTTTAATACTGACTTCTAAGTTAATGGCAATGCAATCCTGTATTTTAACAGCAATATGGAGGTGCACTCCAAAACTACCTTGGTTCAGAAGCATGTGAGAAATTCAGGAGAAGCTACTGACAAGTTTGTTATTTGTTTGTTACGTTGTTATGAACCATTCAGCATTGCATTGGGTGCATTGCATTTACAAATTATTACATCATCACACTTCCCGTAATGCTTTTGTAATGGCCCTCTTTTTAGTACATCACAGGTGTGCTTATCTACCGATATGGACATTCTTTGCATTTGACATTAAAAAGGAAGCCGCTGACTAATACTATTTGTAAGAATATCAATCAGATGTCAAGTTTTTAAGAAAATTCCACAAACTCACGGCACTATGCTGGGGAAAAGAATGTGTCAGAGAAATAAAAATTATAGCTATATATATATATATATATATATATATATATATTCATTTTAATATATACTGTAGTTATATAGAAAAATAATCAAAGAACTGATTGCCCCAATGTGTAATGTATAATGTGATAAATTGATAAATAATTCCTGCTCCAATGGAAGCTAACACCACGTGCAAACTGGACTGTCTGTTTATGGCTGTATTTGAAGCCTTAAATTAAAGCATCAAGGCACGTCCGAATTTAATGTTAGCTTCACTTCCTGTCTCCTGAGATACCTTCGATCATCTGATCAATTTTTGAAGGCAGCATAGATGTCTTTCACCTGCATTTACCGCATTCTGGTAAAAATATAAATGGGACACGGTGATGGCAATGCTTTCGTAGCTTTTTAGCCTACCTCACACATTTCGTATTCTCCAAGAAACTTGCCCTTGCTCGCAAAAATGTCTGCGTTCCCCGCAAATAATTAAATACTAAATATTAAATAAAAATAAAATAGTCTTTGCGAACTAACGCAACGTTTCTTGGGAAACGCAAAGTTTTTGCTGAGAAGTCATACATTTTGCGAGGGATTGCAAAAGTTGTGACAAAACTGCATCACAATCATGCTTTGGTAGCCTAAATCGTAACGTTTTTTTTTTTTTTTTAATTTATTTTATTTTACTCACAATTGAAATTTAGTAGCCTATAGGCTTTAAATGTAGGCCTAGTAGGCTAATTCGTAGGTAGTAGCGAATTATGATGCCATATACATTTTTATGTCATAGGAAACTTTTTAATCTCAGAATTAGCCTATGAGAATGTCATAATTATGACTCGATATGTCAAAATATCGATTTTTGTAATCTAATAGACTTATTTCATAGGCTAATTACGATTCACTAGCATTTTTTTTCCTTCCATAATAATGGAAACCAGGCAATTAAGTTATATTTTAATAACTTAATAATAATCATAATACGTTTTCTCGAGCATTATGTTGAGCATCTTGGAGACTGTTTTTGAGGAACAATATTTTTAATGAAAGCGAAACTTGAAGACTTAATTAGGACTAGTCCCTACCTGTGATATCGCGGGGGAAATCCTGTGGCGATGACTCATACATCATCATAAAGAGGTAGGCCGTCATAAAAGGAGCACTGCTGTCAATGTCACTACAATAGATTTGCTTCCAATCATTCCAGAAGAAAGGACTGCACAAGACATTTACTATGAATCTACCATTATTCGTGGCGTGTCTAGTTTGCTTTTGGCTTGAGGTAATAGGCGCCCCGGCGCGCGCAAATGATGTGAAGTCTGAAGCGCTGTCTATGAAACTCAATGACATGGCGAGAGATTTATATCTGCAGGTAAGGATACTTTTAAGAAAAATGTATATTATATTTTTTTCTTAATTTCTAAATTCAATCTTTATTGTTTCAGAAACCCTTCTTATGTTGTTGATTATAATAAAGCAATTTTATGCTCTGTGCAGGTTGAGTCACCTAAAATTGCAAGTATCATTGATGATGCTCCAGTGTCTATACGACCAATTGACGCATGTGATCCGTGGACACTTCAAAACAAAAAAGAGGTAAAAGGATAGTTTAGATGCATTCTTATTGGTCTATAGATGATTCCATAGGCTAGTAGATCATATGTTTTACACTGCACTCTCAGAAAAAAGTTACAAAAGCTGTCACTGGGGCAGTAGCCTACTCTTTCAAAAGGAACACATTTTGAGTAACTTAAAGGTACATATTGGTACCAAATATTTGTACCTAAAGGGTACCTCTTTTGTATAATTTGTCCTGGGAGTGTGCTTTATACAAAAATGTTGTCAAATGTTGTAATTTGTCCCTGTCTTTTGCTTTTCAGACTTGCCTTTCACGAATTATTATGGCTCTGAAAAACTACACCAGAATTTTCCACAAAGATGGTGTGTTTAAGAATTCAGCTTGCGATATTTGGAGAGAGCAGGCCAACAAAATCTCTCATGTTACCAGAGACATCCTGCGGGTACTTAAGGTATGTGTGTTTTTATTCAAAATCTTAGTGCACGCACACTTCCTTCTGATGTAATACACACCTGCCACGTTTTCATAGAACGAGAGGTAAAACATTTTTTCCCCCCACATCCTTATCTGTTATCCTCCTGGAAAGTTTTGTATGTAAATGACTTTATCAAATGCTCTTTTAATTTCATTATTGTCTTGTTTGATGACCAGGAACCAGTGGTCGATGCTCCTTTGACTTCAGTTGAATGGTATGACAACACTCTATGCCGGGACAGTGTGGAAAGACTCTACTCCTTCTCCATCATATCTGCACGCGTCTTCTCTTTTCTGGCATCCCCAGTTGCTCCTACGGTGGAGATGAAACAGTGTTAGATTGAGAGAAAAGATAATATGTTAGTAGTGATCATGTTGATCAAAATGTTCAGCTTTTGCTGTTTCCACGAAGGTTCTCCTGTGTTATAATAACACGGATTTAATAACAACTCAAAGTTGCATTAACATTAAGAATTCATGTGTGACATGATTCGATATATTTATAGAACTATTTATTGTGTTCTTATTTATTTCTGTATTTATTGTACCGATAAGGTGTCTAATTTAATAAATATATGAACAAGTATTTCAGAACTCTGTATTCATAAGTTGTCTTCATTGTTGTGTGCATGTTGTTCTTTTGGGGAACAAAGAAATTCATTGAAGAACTACAGTAACATGTAGCTAATTACTTTTACTAGCACTAGAACTCTAACCAACAAGGAAATGACAGAGTCGGCGCTGTCAAATTTCCCAGTCTGAAGTCAACAGCTCTCTGTAAAAGGAGAGGGAAGATGTGATTTCCATAAACATTCATGCTACTCTTTATGGTGGCAGTAAGCTTCCTGCAAAATATGTCCTTAACTTAGATGCTGTCACCACTCAGCTCTCTCTGGAACGTGTGTATTGTCCCACAAAGGATGATGTCATAGTTACAAAAGAGAACTTGGTTTACCAACAAACACACAAGGCAATCAAAGACAGAGGTCACATTATTGACTTTTTCCAGATAATTGATGTTATTTTTTTGACAGGAAGCACACAAGAGGCAATAAACAATAGTCTACATTAAAATAATAATTACAAAAATAATAGAGTGCAAGCATCATCATCAGAATTTTTTTTTTGACACTACACTTTTAAATTAATTAACTGTACGGTCATATCATACGGTCTTATTATTATGGCTAACGTGACATTTTCACAGAAGAGGAAGTAGGACTATTGCCAATA